CACCCGCTCGCTGCCGAATGATAAGAAACGTGCATTACTATGTGTGTGTACGCTTATTGTGAGTTTGATTGAATTTGCATGTGTGTTTAAGTCTACGTGTGAATGAGTGTGTGACAAATAAGGGGGGTCAGAGAGATGAGCTGCTGACAAATCCATTAATTAAACCTCAGAAATCTATCCAATGCACAATAATAACTACAAGAAATGGCCCTGGAGCTAATTTAGGAGGGTGGGCTTTTCATTCTTTTGTGATTATTCTGGACACACGCTGCCATTAAAGCTTTCGTAATAGAGAAAGCCAATCAACGAATGAGATGGCAAGTGAGAATATGTACCTCCTCGTACAGACAAAGAACAGACATGATGTCTTAACCTCAATGATTAATAAAAATGCAGCTAAAAGATCTACAACAGTGATCCAAAATTAGGGGTTATGAAACCCCATTTCTGTTCTTGCTTTGTTAAACCAATAAAAGGTAAATTAAAAATATACACAAATAATTTTAAAGTAATTAAATGTAATAATTTACTATAATAATAATAATAATAAAGGCATAATTATAAAAACAAATAGTATATAATAATAATAATTTATATATAAAAAGTATGTTTTGTATAATAAATTATTACTGTATATATATATAATTTTCCACACAATTCTATTTCACTAATTTTAATAGTCATTTACATTTTGTTTTTTAATTAACAAATTAACTAATTTTAACAAATATAACTTTAAAAATATATTTAACTATTAATGTTAACTATTAATTACAAACGTAATTAACATTTGTAAATAATTTGGGTTGCGAATGGAGTAAAATAAGCACTTGAAACAGGTTTCATACAAACACTAATCATATTCAAACCCCCAAAACCCCCAAAAATACTGCTAATTACTTTGTGCTTTGCCTCAGAGGATCCAAAGGGTTCACGACCTGTTTTTCAAGCCCCTGAAGCAGAGAGAGGATCAGCTTTGTGGGAGACCATCTCTGTCCTTAAACCATTCTGATTGAACCGGTTCCAAATGCCACAGGGTCAATGCAGTTGGTGCATTCAGGCACTGAAGATAATATATGCGCATGCTATTTACAGTGCTTTCTTAATTCTGTAGTTAATGCTAAAACCTAAAGCCTCAAGATTCACCCTTCTGTCAGATCTAAAGACACCAGCAAATCGCAAGTGGACTGACGTCTGATGAATCAGACTCATGTGTATTCCACACCAGCCTCTGTTGAACTTCATGTTTGCTTCAGCTCGTACCGTTGCCCTCAGGCGCTGTGATTGTGCGCATGAGGTAACACGAGGTCATAATTCAGGTCAATGCTTTTTAGAGACATATAAATCATACCTCTGAATTTATTCTTCACATTTATTGGTGGATTTTAGGTATGTAATACAGCCTATCCCTTTCAATGTGTGGATTATTTCTGCACGCTACTAACACATTTCTGTCGTCGCTCGTTATGCAACATCCATAAAACATGCTCTGACACCTTCAAGCTCCAATAGTGGCTACGAATGGATCAAAAATGAATGAAAAAATAAATATACTTAAGGTTTTAATGGTGTGCTAATACTGTAGACTTTTCCTCTAATCCTACAGCCGAGTTTCTTCAGATTAGTCTTTGTCTTCTGGTGATCTTGGCAATATAGGAACATTTACAGGTTTCTGTGTTCCTCGATATGTTTCTGTGTGAAACCAGGGCAATGTGCGGCATAATATTCAATTACATCACATTACAGTATGTTACTCTTTCAGTCACATTTTCAGCAGGAAAAATAACGCAATTCAAGCGCAATGCTCAAGGGTCCAACAACTGTTCCCCATCTGGGATTCAAGCATCTGGCTCCATATTCTCTTCAAAATGTCAGTTCTTACAGTATGATCTTACTGTAGCCTACCTGTAAGACTATTATGCTACATTACACTACAGAAGCAAAGGTCTGGAAGTGCTGACTAACAGCTGTGAGTGCAATTATTCTGCATATGATGGTAATTTTGCCAAGTTTGCCACAATAGACTATGTAGAATCACTCAGCACCACATGGGCGGCAGAAGCGCTTAGCTAGTGTTGACACGAACACAAGGGAAACGATTAGTACTCCAGAAGAGTATTGCCAGTGTCACCAGTGTAAAATCTCTCATTATGGAAAGCAGAAGGCTTTTTAAAAGACATTGACCTGGACTAATTGGAGACGTTCTGGAACAATCCATCCATGTCTGGCCCAATCTCAGGACGTAAATGAGCAGTACCAGACCACTTTTTATTCTATAACAGGGCATTTATCCACTATGAAAGGCAGCATAAATTACATGAAAGTACATTACTGAATCTAGACAGTGATTTTACAAAGTAAATAATTCATTCTTTTTGTGCAATGATATGAGTGCACATTTTATTGTTAGATCATCAGGCATGATATTAGTTCAGTGAGAAGCAGACGAGGACTATGCATACTAAGCACTAAGCTTACTATTTCTGCAGCATACAGCATACATAGGCTACATACATACTCTGTCAATATGGGGTGCTGTGTGTACAATAATGAGGAAAAAAAATTAACTTAAATGATTTTAGCAAATGGCTGCAATATAACAAAGAGTGAAAAATTTAAGGGGGTCTGAATACTTTCCGTACCCACTGTATATATATATATATATATACAGCATGCAAATTTTCTTGGATGGTTGACTACATTTGACCTACTATACAGCAAAGCACTACTTGGAAAACTGATTTTTATTGTTTATAATTTAAACTGATTTAAAATAATTTATATTGGATTTATGGTCAAAAGTTCACAATTTTTTTTATTAAATTCAATACAAATTCAAATTCAAATAAATATATCAATATACTTTATTTCATATAAAAATATTATACATCTGAATCTGATTCTCAGGTGTGTTGGGTTAAGAATGAATCTAAATGTGCCATTGTAGGGAAAATTCACCCCACACAAAAGGATGAGCTTTCCAGCCCACCATACACAGAAACGCACAGATCTACACAATCAGCCCCTTGTATTGCATGTCCGGTTGTATGGCTGATTCAACAGTGCTGATGATATTACGCAACGTCATAATGTCATTGTCACAAGCCCAAGATGTTTTTGCCTTTTTTCAGGTGCATTCATCCAGAACTTCACTCTACATAGATCTGGTTCTGGTCTAGGGCACTAACACTATTTACATTAAGGCGTGACAGAAGCTCTTTTGTAAAATGACACTGGCCTATTTATTCCCATGTGTGTTGCAGAGATACACATGGCAGAACAAATCCTGACATGTCACCATCAGCCACATGTGAATCCTGGAAAACATCAAAGTCTGGACAGCAAACAGCATTTTTTAGACTGCATATGACTGCTATGTTGTAAATATCTCAATCCCAAGAGTTTGGAGGCGGGATTACTTGTCTATACAAACAGCGTAGAATTAATTTATGTGTTAATTGCTATCGCTGTTTTATTTATTTATTTATTTATGTAAATGGTTATTTTTATGATAATTGTTGCACTGAATTGAATTCACCCTTCAATTTTATGTTTTATGAAGGATTTGTATGGAAATATATTTCACCTTGATATTTACGGTTTTAAAATTACAATAACATAAACGTTCATTATATAATCGTTCATTATACTTTAAAATTTGTTAAAGTGCAAAAATGACAAATAATTGTGTAAACAGAAACAAGGCAGATGAAGAGAAAGGGGAAAATACTGAGAAGAGATGTTGAGAATGAGAGCACATAAAAGAACCAAAAAAAAGGAGAAACGCTCTAAACACTTTCATTAGTGAAGGCTAATTGCTGTTTAATTGCCTGCTGAAATAAATAGCAAATAAGCGAGTATTCTAATCAGGTCTTGTTGAATAGTAACAATCTCTCAGTTGGCCCTTAACTACACTGAGACAAAGACAGAAACACCACACTGCAGAGTATAAATCCACACAGATCGGACACTAATGACAGCTCAGAGAGTGAAAACGAGGTGTGTTTAAGGTTGTCAAGTGTCGTTGGCTTGTGTTCGTGTATGTGCTTCAGTAAATGAGTGTTTTCTTTTGAATTTGAGTCACATGCTCCATACATCCTTAGCTAAACACTTCATGCAACTGCCTGACAGCTCTAGTTTAATTTCTGGGTAAAACAAAGACTACTCCTCAGTCTGACAGGAGCTGAGATGACGTTCAGTGATGTGGTGGCAGCGAGACATGCAGACAGAGTTCACAAAGGTCATGGCCAGAGCTAGTTAAGTTTACAAGACCTCGATCGCGCAACATGTAGCCCAGCATCGAATTCAAAGATCAATATGTTCTCATCTGCAGCCAGCCATCAATAAGTGTCTGAATGATTTGAAAAAAATATTAACTCATGAAATCACATGCAATACGCTCTTTTCATATATTATTTGGCCAATAATATATTATTCATCATTCTGACTACAAGTGGACACTCATTAAAAAACAAAGTCTCAAAGGCCCTCTATTAGAATAGTGTGCAGCTACCGTGACCAACCAAAATCACAGCTCAAAGGCACACAATTAGAGACACAATAGCAATAAATGCAATTTGCCAATCTTGCAAATATTTCTTTAATGTCATCCTTCAAATATTTCTTTAATGTCAATATTTAATGTCAAATATTTAATTTAATTTCTGAAAGATTTAATTTAAAAATAAAAAGGTTATACATTTCATACTTTTCTGTTTATTTAAATATTTACATTTTAATGTTTATTAAAAGCTTAATATAACTAACTTAACAGAATAAGCCACAAGTCTAAATGTGTCAGACCAACAAAGCCCAGTGTAATGCAGTCAGCATGTGAGATGAAACGCACATAAAAATGAATGAAAGAGAAAAGACACATGCTGGCAGCCCTCTCTCTCCTTCCAGAAACAAAAAAGGCAATTATCAGCCCGCTGTAGTCTGCTTTTAAATCCAGGCAGAGACACACCAATGAAATACATAAGAAAACAAATGGAATTTACCTCTCAGGCAAGAAGGTCTCCGTATCTGGTAAGAGTGAGCTGGCCTGTCATCTCTATTAGAGTAGATTCCTCTTTCATTTGTGCCGGCTGTTTGCTTGGTTTAAAATCCTTTGACTAGAGGAGTAGGTCACTGTGGCTTACAGTCTGTGTCATCAAGAAGCAGAGCATGTGTGTAGTTCCTTAATGACGTGACTTCTGGGGGCTGTTATGCCTCTGTGCATCCTTACCTCAAGCCTTTACTAACTGTCTCTGATGTTCCCTCTCTCTTTCTGCCTCCCTCACGCACAGCAAACACAGATTGCCCCGTCTGCCACCTCCTTCTTTGACTTCTCCCCGCCCACCTTATGAATAATTAATCACAGTGTGGGCAGACCCCCCTCCCCCCTTTGAAAAAGATCCACACACACGTGCTCCACACAATAAAAAACGCATACAAGCATCAAGGAAAAAAACAAACACATGACATATATGTAAGCCAAGGCGGCCGGGTGTGCTGTCCTCCCCCTCTCCGAGCGGGATATCGCCTGCTCTCAGTTGGTGGGAATTTAGCGTTTTTCAGGCTGGGCTAGAAGACTCTCCCCTCCTTCAGGCTTTCCCTCTGAGCCTGACCTCTCTATTATGACCCGCATCTCAACCTCATGTATGTCTGGACCCCTTTTCACTCCCTGCCCGCCCTCATATCACCTACTGACAAATCAATACAATGTCAACAACATGCAAATGCTCACTGTATATGATTAGAGGAGCCTAATATAGACAGAGATTGATAGATGCCAGTGCCAGAGAATTTGAGTTAAATGATAAAGATATTTAACCTCTTGCTTCTAGTCAAAAAAAAAAAAGGTTAATTAAAGGAACAGTAATTAATTCTACCTTCATTTAAGATAATAATTCCTCAGCGCATGTTGATATATAGCAGAATGGGACATACTAGCAAGGTCAAACACATTCACAGCAACATGCCAAATTACTATAGCTTACCATAAACCATCTAAAAGCCAAGGACTGCAGGTGATTGACAACTTAACTCTAAGCAGGACTCTTGATCCTGTGTCTCCAAGGTGGATTTGCAATTTGAATGTATTTAGTTTCCTAAGGAAAGCACATTAAATTATGATAAGGGGTCTCCTCTGTGACTGCATTTCAGCAGGAGTTTAACAGCAAGCATGAATGCAAAGATAACAGCTTAAACACTCATTTCAATGCAAAGTGAGATTAAACACTGCAACAACTTCTCTATTCCCCAGTTTGCTACACAAATCAAGGAATGTCAAGATTTAACAGTGTTTGTTGTTGTAGCGTATTTGCTTGTGACCTCAAACATACACAGTCCAAGCACAGTGAAGGGCAGAATGGGTTTCCCTTATTATGAGACATTTTTCACATATTTTCCTTTCCACTGACGTCTTTTGTGGGGGCTCCTGTGTTGGCAGATGCAAAACAGAGGGAGTAAGCCTAAATAAAAGGTTTGTTTCAGTTCTTCATGATTGGCACAGAAATTACAAAGAGATTGAAGATCTAAATCGCTCTGGGGAAGCAGTGAGAAAGAGAAAAGACGTAAGACATAAAAAGTAACAATTCTTTCAAAAACTGTTTACACAAACTTTTAACATACTTTAGAGATTCAGTAATGGCACTGTGGTGCTGCTGTGCAGTAGTGAAGAATGCATGTTTGAGAACCATTAACACAATGCAAATCAACTGGTTAAGGTATTTTTTGAAAACATAACCAGTACTGAATAAGACTGAATACGTTTACTACCCCTGACTAGTTTATTTCACAACCGGAAAGCGTCTGATAAATAGGGGACTAACAGGATAAACTGAATATTATTTGACTGATAATGTGACATGGTGGGAAATTGCAGTTGCAGTTTATGTATGTTTTAAAGCTGTACCTAGAAACCATATAGTTACATCTTTACCATGGTATTGAGGTGCTATATGTTTGGTTTTAACTGTAGTTATCATGATCTAAATGTATGCTACTGTGGAAGACCAATGATTAATTTTAATAAAACTCAAACAGTCAGAATAATTACATGTCACCATATAAAAATGAGGTTGTTACCATTTTTAAAGATGCTATTGTTTTTGATAATGAACATAAATTTACATCTGCATCCTAACTCAAGCTGCTACTGTCAACTCAAGCTACTGTCAAATGTGCTTTTCTGAGAGCCAAAAAATGTAGTATTATTAATATTGCAGCCTGCACTGCAAACTGTGCTCAAGATACTCGTCATCAAAGTCAGGCAACACAAACCTGTTCCATGATTTGAAACAATATCACTCATTAGAACATGCAGATACTAAGAAATGTATTTTTCTGTTAAGATATTTATTTTGTTAAGGAAAAATGACTGGAAAAGTGAAGCGTTTGTCATGTTCTGATTAAACTGGGCGATACATATTACTGATTAAACTGGGTGATAAAAAAAACATACAGCAAATGGACATTCACTCCATAATAGATTTTCAGTAAAGTGACACCAAGAGATTTTAATTCAATGACAAGTTCTGAGGTAAAGAAACCTGTATTCGTGTCATGCAGACATTAAAAGGCTATGAGCAAAGACATTTCCGCTGTGTTGCCATGCCAGAGCATACGGTCACAAAGGGCCCGTCTTTCAATTGCATCAGGTGTAACGCTAATTGCATTGTTTAAATATTTAAACCAGCTTGAGGGACACAAAGGCAGAGGGATAAGGAGGGGCACGGGTTAAAAAGAGCAAAAGCAGCAGAGGGGGTGGAAGAATAGAAAGAGATGACAGGAGAAGAAAGGGCAGAGGAATATGGATGTATCTGAGAAAGATAGAAAGGCTCTTGTTGTTTGTGGACCTCCAGGACAGGACATGAGTAAAACAAAGAGAAGCAACAGTGGAACATCATGGCTGTTTGAGCAAAGTAAGACCTCCTTTGTCTGTGTCGGGGGAAATGAAAGATGGAATGAGACAAACTGGATGTTCCTGGGTTTTTTTTGTTTTTGTTTTTCTTCTTTCTCAGCAATCAACGGGGCGGCTCATTACAGACTAACGAGAGGTCTGAAGAGCACACTTGGGAAGGCTGGGAGCTGCCAAGTTTATGAGAGAGGCCATATACAAAAGCTGTCAGTAATGAGTTGAAATGGATCCATGTGAGTCCCACTGGAGTGAATCCCACTCTGGCATGTTTGGTCATGTAAACCAGTAGCTTTCGAGCACTTGTTTGTGTGTCAAAGGAACCGAGATAAAACTGTGTGTATAGCCAGATCAACATAATGGCGGTGTCACTTGTATTTATTCTCATGACAGTAAAATAAATAGTTTATGATGCCATACGCTACCGTTTGGGATCAGTAAGATTTCTCTTATGCTCACCAAGGCTGCATTTATTTGATCAAAAATACTGCAAAAAAAGTTGAAATATTATTACAATTTAAAATAACTTTTTTAGCCTTGTAGAGCAGGTAAAAATGGAGATCGGGTGACAGCTGTGAGTTGATGGAAACCATTTTGGCGGAAAAACTTTCAGTATTCCTTGATGAAAAGAAAGTTCAAAAGAAGAACAGTATTCATTTGAAACTGAAATATTTTGTAACATTATCAATGTCTTTTTTTCACTTTTGATCAAATTAATGCATCCTTGCTGAATAAAAGTATTATTTTATTTCAATAAAAAATAAAAAATTCAAATTATTCATTTTTGGATGAACTATTCCTTTAGAGAGAGCTTTTGTTTTGTTTCAAAGACAGCACAGATAAGTAGGATACATGCTGCATGTTAGCTAATAGCACTTGGCGACAATCCCATTCTCAATGGCTAGTCAGGTCAACAAAGTGTTAAAGTCATCTAGATGAAGTAGTATCCAGGTGCACATGTAGCTCCCATGCCTCCCATCTGTTTTATGTGATATATCACTTCCTTAGCCAATAAGAGGCATTATACATCACAAATGAGCCAGTTGTCCCTACATGAACACCATAGAAATCAAATTTGATACCTCTGATATCTACTAAACCCATAATACAAAGAGTGAGTTGACTCTGAATAGATGTTAACTATTCTGATTTGCCAATTTAGCTAAGCAAATATAATTAAAGGGATAGTCCACCCAAAAGGAAAATTGTCATTACTCACCCTCACATTGTTGCAAACATGTATGTCTTTATATCTTTTGTGGAACAATGTTTTTTTGGTTTTTTTGTACGTAGAATGTAAGTCAGTGGTACTGTCTGCTGTTGTTTTAGACTCCATTGACAAAAGACTTCAAAATTTCTTCTGTTGTGTTCCTCTGAAGTCTGGAATGACCTGAGGGTGAGTAAATGATGACAGAATTATAATTTTTGGGAGAACCATCCCTTTAATATTGACGCTGTATCTAATGCAAGCCTAGAAGACATGTAAAGAGAACAAATACGTTGAAAATTTCTCTCTGATCCCGTTGATGAGGTCTGGCAGCTCTTGGGGACAGCTGGTCTTTCGTTTATCAGGTCCATACCTCTCCACACACATTCTGTCCTTCTATGTCCAACCCTCCATTGATCCAAAGACCCTTCTCCACTTATCCTGCTGTGTACAGAGCCGGTCAGAGGGTCAGATTAATGGCAGCCCTTCAGAACAGCTGCTGCCAAAGGCAAAGCAGATACATCCACATTAGTCTTGCAACTCTTGAGACAGTCCTCCCTTTCTTCCATGATCCAATTCACTCTCTTCTTATATATATTTAACAAGAGGGAACAAAATCAAAGAAAGAAAAAAAGAGTTTTTATGACTGAAACAACATAAATTCTATCCGGGTCAATGATATTGATTCACTTCCATATATCCTGAAGCTCTTCTTTTGGGCACTTTAATTTAAAGTGAAAATTCAGTTCCACTGTTTCTTGCTTTAACTCACACTCACACATCTTTAACACATTCAGATTCAGCTAAAACATAAATGGATTCAGTGGCTTCATAAATAAAAAAGTGTCTCATGAACAGGGTCGTGACATCATCAGTTATGTAAACCATTAAATAGTTAAAGGGTCATAGTTTAAGCTCATGTCCCTTGTCCAACCACAGAGCAGATGTCAGGTAGGCCATAGCCTTAACACAAACACAATAATTCTAACAGCAGGGTACCTGGCTGTCGAGTTTCCCCCAATAAGCCGCAGACACATGGGCTAGCTCAAGCAGGAACATGGGTAGACTCTGTAATTCAATGAAGACCCTGAACAGCAGGGATATTAGAGGTGTAAAATGTCAGAGTGCTTGGATCAGAATGTTCTTGGTGATGTAAACAGTTTCTCTGAAGTACTACTTAA